TACTAGAGTAAGATACATAAAAAAGTCTGTTTAAATATAAATTAGAAATATCTTTTAAAGTTTCTGTACTAATAATTAAGAGTAATTTTTTACAAAAATATTTTCAAAAATATACTTGTAAATTTATATCCAGATAGATTCTAATTAAGTAATTAACCTTCTATACTTTAATTATGCAAAGAAAAGGCTGAAGGGTCTCTGATTGATCCCTTGGATCTTTAGCTGACACTGAATTGCTACCTTTAAAGGGAAAGATCTGAAGATCATGTGTGAGATTGTGACAGTGAGAATTTTCAACTTTGTTTTACTTAACATGGTTGAGCACAACTGTTAGTATAGTGGAACATGCTACAGTACAATTAAAACTTTATTTGGTGCATGGAGAAGAAGAAGAGTCAATTCTATATAAACATAGCTGAAGTAGAAGCCTCAAAAAGGGGTCATAGGAAAAGGACACAGAATGCTGCTGAGTACCAAGAAGTGAATGGAAACACCAACTACTTATAGCATGTGAGGTGGTATGTGATGTTCTTTCACTGTATATTCCATTCTGCTAAGTTGGCAGAGAAAGTTGTGTAATAACTTTTCTTGGAAAATGAAAGGGAAAATTCTTAGCCCCCATCTAAAGCAACAAAGAAAATAGTTGTTTAATTCTAAGCAGGTTGGCTAACGTTTGGATTTAGAAGAAGTATGTTGGATTTTTTTAATAACTATGTTTTTATTTAAAGTATTTATTGACTTTACTCATTATTATTTTTTGTTAGATGATTTTATTGGTTATCTTTAGTGTGATTTTCTTTTCTAATCACGTGTTTTACATCCATAAGATTCAAATATGAATTTTTTCAATTCATTACTACTTAGATGAATAACTTGTTGATAGTTTTATTAGGTCCTTGTATTTTGAGTATTTATGGATTGAATTTTTTTAAAATTTAGATCGACTTATCCATTTTATAAAAGTATATCAATTAACCGAATATTTTATAAAATGGATCAATTTGATTCAATACAATTATTTATTTTATACCTATATATGAATTGATATTTTTAAAAGACTAGGCTGATTCACTTTGTAAAAATAGATCGAGTGATTGAACTAGTTTTGCAAAGTGAATCAATTTAAATTTAGGCTAAAAACCTATATTGGTCCCTTATAATAATTGTTTGTTTCAATTTAGTCCCACTTTTATTTTTTGTCTCAATTTGGTCCCTCATAAGTTAATTGGTTTCAATTTGGTACTTCCGTCCAAATTATTTAAACGGAGTTAACTGTTGGCCACGTGGATGCATACGTGGATACCACGTAGGCGCCAAATTTTGCGAAAATACCTGGAACCAGAACGACCCGTTCTGAAACCAGAACGGGCCATTCTGAATTCAGAACAGGCACCAGAATGGTCCGTTCTGGTTTCAGAACGGCCCGTTCCAATACTGAGAATAGAATTTTCTTTATTAATTTTATTAAAAAATATAAAAATTTGAAAAATATTTTTTTATGGTAAAAATTTTAAATTATTTATTTTTATAAAATACAATTATCTTATAAATAGACTAATAATTTTTTCTTTTTCTCTTTCTGTCTAAGAAATATTTAAGTATCACTTTATAATTTTTTGTAACTTATTTAAAATTAGAAGAATAAAATGATAAAGATTAATAGGATAAACATAATAAAATTATTAATTTATTTTCTTTTAGTGTCCTCTAAATTTTTACATTCATTTAAAACAAAAATATTTTATATGTTAATTTGAATTAATTTAACGAAGTATCATATGATTTTTTATTTTTTAAATTTTTTTATAAATTTGATCTATACATGAAAAACTTTTTAATTTAACAATTAAATTCTTTAAAACTTGATATAGAACATTAATTATTAAATATAATAAATCTATCAAGACTTACTCTTGAAGTAAGTAAATTTTTTCTTCATTAAAAATGAAGATAATTTTACCATAAAATAAAAAATAATTAAACAATAACTGTTTTAGTGATACATTGCATTGTCCTTAATTTTACATTGTATAGCCTAATTGTTTAGCAATTGAAGTTATCAATTTTTATTGACAATATTACCAAATTCAGTGTTTGAAATGCTTTGTATCTTGGGTCTTTTTCCTTCCATGATTCCTAACCGTGAACAATAATCATCGATCGTTTATGCTTAGCAGTCTGGAACTAGAACGACCCGTTCTGAAACCAGAACGGGCCGTTCTGGTTCCAGGTGTTTTCAAAAAAATTGGTATCCACGTGGTATCCACGTGGCATCCACCTATGCATCTACGTGGCATCCACGTGGCCACACAGTTAACTCTGTTTAAATAATTTAGACGGAAGTCCCAAATTGAAACCAATTAATTTATTAGGGACCAAATTGAAACCAATTAATTTATTTGGGACCAAATTGAGACAAAAAATAAAAGTGGGACTAAATTGAAACAAACAATTATTATAAGAGACCAAAATAGGTTTTTAGCCTTAAATTTATTCTCAAAATGAATAATTTTTTTTTAATATGGGTCGAATTGATTTACATCAATTTAAATTTTTTACACACCCTTATCTTACACATCAAAGAGAGAAATATATAATGACTGTTATTTTATTCTTATTTTACTGGTAAGGAACATTGAAGTGGAAATCTTGAAATTTTAGGAATAAATTAAGGAATCCATCTTATTTTACTGAACATTTTTATCTAAAAAGAATATGATTCTCAATAACATAATTGTGCTTAAAGATTCTTATACTAAAAATTTATGCTTAAGATAGGGTAGCGAAAGTTTGATTAAACTGAAACATTCAGCAACTATTGTTTTCACTTTTGAGCATAATTGTTGCCTTTGTTTGTAATTATATATTTGATTGGAGTGAAACTATGAGTATAAAGAAAAGTAATCATGTGTTACATTTACTGTTTAGATACATATTACATTATCAAAATTTAATTTTTGGTTCTCATGGGTGAAATAACACAAAATTAAAAGTAGGTGCTAATTACTTATCCGTAGAAAAAACTTTGCATTTTTTTTTACATTAAATGTAATAGTTCGAGGGTGAAGAATATGGAGCCTAGCTAGGTTATGCTTCTACTAATTAATAAATTAAAGAGTCGCAAATATGGTTTAACTAGCTTTCATCAACTTTTTTTTAAATTTATTTTCAGCTTTATACAACACTTCACTCAATCGTTATTATCCATTTTTAATGAAATTTAAGTAAATATTAAAAGAAGTTAGGGCTTAATGTAGTATAGCAAATCGTAATTCCAGTTTGTACATTCAATAATTCGTTCATAGTATTAAATTAAAGCATCCTTTTCTTATTCTTTAAGGTAACTTTGATGCCACCAAACTATCAATTTTTCTACATGTTCATTAATAATACTCTTGATTTTCTTCAAGTCTTAATCAATACGTATAGCTTTGCTCAATCTAACCTGCATATCATAACGGATAATAAACTATTCTTAATCGTTTTGTTCGTTACAAGTATCTTTTATATAAGACTTTATCACTATATGCTATTTATAAATAAAATTGTTATTTTATATCAAAAGTTAAATTATTATTATATATGACTGATACCATTTGCTGGATTTGAAAAATGCTTTTTATATATTCTTACACATTATTTGGCATTCTTTGATTTATAAACACGTAGCATTTTTATATATATTTTTTTATTATTTTAACAAGGAGATACAACGACTCAAACCTATAATTAGTATCTAAGTTCCATTATTGAATCTCACGCCTAAGTGATCTCTAACTAATATTCCATAATTAGCTATAGTTATCTTGTCACCAAATTTAATAATGATGTTCAGGTTATCAGTAAATAAACGCAAAGTTTTAGTAAAAGAGAGAAAATGGGTAAGTTTTCTAGTAAGAGTATTTTCTTAAGATTTTTTAATTATATTATTAGAGCTATCACTAACTCTGTGGCCTATTATTTATTAGAAATTTGACTGATTAATTTTAGTAAAAAATTTATTTAATTTATTAAAAAACTTGAATTCAAGATCATAACTAAGGATGTTAAAATTAATTTTATTTAGACTAATTAATGACTTGTTAATTATTTTAATATTATTTTGTCTGTTGTTTGTCGTATAAACTTTTTGTTATGTCATTATAAGTCAAAACGTTTACTATATATAATAATGTTGAATATTTCAAAACAGAACTTTTCGATTATTACTATTTACTCTATAAACTAATGAATTTTATAACCAATTTAATCGGCATCATGGCATGAGAATATACAAACTATTGCCCAAGAACTCGGATCTATGTGTGATATTTTCTAATTTCAATGGTTTAAAAGGTTCAAGAAATTTTATAATGATGAATATTATGATTGTTACACTTGTCAAGATAAAAGGCAATAATGGGAATGGAGACTACTTATAAGAATCTTACTACACGTGACCCCATAGCTTATTTAATTGTTAAAATTTAATGAATCTCCTCAAATTATTATCATTATAAAACCTCATTATTATCGTTATAACCAAAATGTGCATTCTTATGCATATTATTATTGAATATACTAACTCCTTATGCACAACAAGAAACTCCGTAAAAGGAGTTAATGAGTCATTTTAGGAAATTCAAACTCAAAATTTTCTGTAATCGGAGATTTTTAGTTTTTTTTTTTTTTAACGTTGAAAAGAGCTAGGACAGTAAAATCTAAACTAAACTAGTTCAAATTCACTAATAAGGTTTGTTTCAACAAAAACACAAATTCTAGTTTTTTTTTTTTTTTTTTTTTTTTTTTTTTTTTAACGTTGAAAAGAGGACAATGAAGTAACAAGCCGAACATGATGTAATCTACCATCATCTAAAGCAGACACCAAGACACATTAAGAAAGCAAGAAACTCATCATAAAAGTTTCACTTTGTTTTATGATTTTTTTTACTTTCTTCTCATTCACTATTCATTTCACTCTCTTTTCTTTGTGTTTGTGGATCATCGTCATTCATTAATCTTCCTGCCTGCTAAAGCAACGGTTTTTGATATATTGTTATTTGTTATCTTTCAAAACAATTCATGGCCCCACACTAGTCACAATCTCTCTCTCCCTCTCGCTCTCTCTCATATTTCTCTCTAAGTATGTGTTTGTGCTTCAAAATGGTCACCAAAAACCAGAACCGGTCTCCATTATAACTCACATCCTCACCTCCACTTCCTTCAAAGGTACCCTTTAGATTTTTTTTATTTTTATTTTTTTCATTTCCCTCTATGTTTTTCCTATCTCCACCTCAGTTTAAATGATGGGTTGTTCCTCTTCTTCAATTTCATTGCCTCACCATGCTTAAAAATATGATTTTTATTTAGTACAGTTGAGGTTTCAGAGTTTTGAGGGTGATGTGCTCCTCCTAGACAACAAAGGGCGACGAGTTGGAGCAGAGACAATGGTGGGGACTCCAATTAATGGAAGAACAAGGCAAGCTTTCACTGTTGTCAATGGTGGTGGCCACGATCTTGGTCCCAGCAGTGCTCCTCCGAGCAATGCTGGATCGGACTATGGTGTCATAGAGTTCACAAGAGAGGATGTGGAAGCATTGCTAAATGAGAAGGCCAAGAGAAAAGACAGATTTAATTATAAGGTTAATTGATGTTTAAAAGATTAATTAAGGAGTGTGTAATTGCTCGTTTTGTTATTTGGATTTGAGATCAAAGTGTGCAAGGTTGATGGCTTTGTGTGTTGTTTGTTTTACATGGTACATGGTATTGCTTGAATTATTGCTTTGTTTACTCATATGTTAACATAAGCCTCTATGTTTTTAGGAAAGATGTGAAAATATGATGGATTATATAAAAAGGCTTAAGGTTTGTATCAGATATTTCCAAGACCTTGAGATGTACTACTCTCTAGAGCAGGAGAAGTTAAAGAATTCACTGGAATTGACTCAGCAAAAATGCATAGAAATTGGTAAGATTTAAGATTAGTTTTCACTTTTCAATTTTCTCCGCTTTTAATTGTGAAACAACCTTGCTGATTTTGACAACTAAAATGCTTTGAATTGTTTAATTTTAGAGTTGCTGCTTAAAATCAAGGAAGAAGAATTAAATTCAATCATTACGGAAATGAGAAGGAATTGCACTTCTTTACAAGAAAAATTGATAAAGGAAGAATCGGAAAAGTCGGTAAGAAAGATATTGAAGTTATTTGGATTTTAAAACTTGAAAAAAAAAAATAGTGAAAAGAAATGTTTATCTTAAACTCTGAACTTTTTTTTTTTGTTTTTTTTATTGTCTATGTAAATACAAGGTTGCAGTGGAATCACTTGTTAAAGAGAGAGAGGCTAGGCTTGACATTGAGAGGTCACAGAGTACTCTATCAGAGGACCTTGGAAGAGCCCAACGAGAGATCCAAAGTGCAAATCAGAAGGTAAAATAACAGTACAATTCCAATTCAGCAAAAATTTTCCAGGGTTCCTCATTTTTTATTCAATTTGATGGAGATCTGACATCCACTATTGAAATGGTCAAAATAATGTGTATAAGTTCAAAACAATCTTTATCTTATAAGTTAATTTTGTAAGACTAAATTAAGTTCAATCCCACTTTCTTAAGATGTTATTAGATTCTATCTTAGTGATATGATTATTGTTGGACTTATCACACCACCCTTTATTGAGCTTTTATTGGACCACCCGCCCTTTATTGAGCTTTTATTGGACCACCCGCATATGTTCAATTTGTTGCGTGAGGATGTGTGTTGGAGATCCCATATTTTGACCGATGACTACTGAAATAGTCAAAATAGTCAAAATAAGAAACAATCCTTATTTTACAGATTGGTTTTGTAGGGTTTAGAACTAAACCCACAATCGTTGGATGAATTATGCTAATTAATAAATGTGAAATATTATGGAAACAAGTGACTTCATTCCTGGAATCAGATTGGATACAAGGCAGATTTAAAATAGAGAAATATTTACATAAATCAGGGTCCTAATGAAGGAAAAAAAAAATCATATCCTGAAAAGTAACATATCTGACTGATTCTCCAATCAATCATCAATTGACTGATTCTATCGACCTTATATGATATCCAACAATTAATGCCTTCATATGTGAATTTCTGCAGATAGCATCACTCAACGACATGTATAAGCGGTTACAGGATTACATAACAAGCTTACAACAGTACAATGGAAAACTTCATTCTGAACTTTCATCAGTTGAAGATGAACTTAAACGTGTAGAGAAAGAGAAGGTTACTGTAGTGGAAAACATCACCATGTTAAGGGGTCAACTTACTTTATCCGTTGTAAGTTTTCTTTCACATGTGAGCTGTTTCAGTTTGGATATTTTAAGTTCAATTATAATGTCTCACTAAGGTTCTAATATTTCTAATAGTGTCAAATTTCTAATCTCATTTTAAAATTTTCTTGCTGAACAAGCAAACACACGCGCAACCATTCAATAACACTGCATACGTTAAAGAAATAGGATTAAAGAACTGAAACTGCTAATATCCATCTAAGTTTAGTTGGTTGTAGAGTTTTAAGAGATAATGTAATATTTTAAACTAATTTAGGCATAAGTAATTGTTGCTTTTTTGATTTATCATAAGTAATCCTGCTAATATCCTGTCTTTTTTGTTATATCTTTTATTTCTTACTTATCATGCAGCTGGTATTTTACCCAGTTTCCTTGGTTCTTTTATTAGTCTTCTCAAGAAGAGGCCATAAAACAGAAGGATGCCCTTGCTACAGAAGTTGCTTCTCTTAGAGGAGAGTTGCAACAAGTAAGAGATGAGCGAGACCGGCAATTATCACAAGTACAAACTTTATCTTCTGAATTAGAGAAATTTAAAGAATCTACAAAACAATCCTCCACTGAATTGGACAGCTTGACAATAAAAGCAATTGACCTGGAGGTTGGTGTGTATTCACGATTTTTTTTAAAATAAATATTGAATAATTTTGTTATTATGGAGTCATGAGAGGGTGAGTTTTCTGCCCAGGCAAAATGTTCTTTGAAAGATAATCAAATAAAGGCATTGGAAGAGAAGCTAGCAAATGCAGAGAAGAAATTGCAGGTAATAAAGGAAATTTTTTTTAAAGGTGTATACTATTAGTATTAGCTATAAAAACATTTGATGTATTGTTAGATCAAGTATCATTCGTGAACTTGTACATAATAGTTTGGGCCTTTAATTAGGAGAGTTGGTCCTTGGTATAATATGATATTAGCACCTCTATGATCAAGTGGTCAAGAGTTCAATCGTTGCTGCTCCGATTCTACTAATAAAAGAAAAAGATTAATTTCAGTGCAGGGTAGAGGTTGTTTATGCATTGTCCTTGTGTAACCCCAAAGGGCTATTGCATGTATTGCATGAGGAACTTGTTAGATATAAAATGTTAAGGGTTACACATCTTTTTCGTCTCCATAAATATGTAAAATTTCATTTTTAGTTCCTCATTTTAAAAATGTTGACTTTTGATACTTCGTTTTTTAAAATGTGTCAAATTTTTATCTCCATGACTAACTTTGTTAATCCAATTTAGCAATGATGCTTAGTCTGTACCACTATGTTTTTGGGCCTTTAAATTTATATACGTGTATGACGTGTTTGGTGACCAAACACATCGCCAAACATCAGATACGTCATACATGTATGTTAATTTAAGAGCCTAAAAAACAATGGTGTTGACTGAACGACACCGTGGATTAACGAAGCTAGTGATAGAGAAAAAAATTGACACATTTAAAAAAAATGAGGGCCAAAGTTGACGTTTTAAAATGGGAATAAATACAAACTTAAAATATTTATAATGATGAAAAATATGTTTAACCCAACAATTAAAAACTGTTCACAAACCTTCTCCCTAACAACTTAAACATGGGAGAGTTGATCCTTGACATATGCATTATGGTGTCTAACTATCTAATCTATTGATTTTGTTCCTTGTTAGGTGTCTGATATATCTGTATATGAGACAAGGACAGAATTTGTAGGACAACAGAAAATGGTGAATGAGTTACAAAGACGCTTGGCAGATGCAGAATATAAACTTATAGAAGGGGAGAGGCTGCGGAAAAAATTACACAATACCATTTTGGTAATTCACTGAACAAAAATATTTGTAGTTAATAATAAAAGAAGAATCAACACCTTAATAATAATCTCCATTTAACAGGAGTTAAAAGGGAACATTCGTGTATTCTGTCGAGTGAGGCCTTTATTACCTGATGAAAGTTGTAGCTCAGAAGGCAAGATTTTCAGTTATCCAGCATCAATGGAAACTTCTGGACGAGCCATTGACCTAGCCCAAAATGGTATATCTGTTGTGATGATGTATTTGAAACTATTCTTATTTCTTTTTGCTTGAATTATATTGTGTTGTCAAAATGTCAACTCATTTTGTTCGTTTTGTACTCAGGCCAAAAACTTCCTTTTACATTTGATAAAGTTTTTACACCAGAGGCATCACAAGAAGAAGTTTTTGTAGAAATTTCACAGCTTGTACAAAGCGCTCTTGATGGTTATAAGGTAATTTTAAAGTTCATCTGTCATCTATATGGTAAAGCATTATTCATTTAAAAATAGAGAAAATAGATTGTGCACTTATGATGTATAATAATTTTATATCTAAAACCATTAATTTTTTTTATACTCACTTTTATATTGTATGGCATTTTTCCCTTCCTTGCCTTGTGATTCTTTGTTTCTGACCTATCTGTACTGTAAGACACGTGACTGTCAGTTAGATTTGGTATGACAAGTTTGTTTTCTAGCATGCATGCTTGTAAATCAATATGTATATTGTATACATACATCTATAGCAATATGATGATGTTTTCTTTTTCAGGTTTGCATCTTTGCCTATGGTCAAACAGGGTCAGGGAAAACCTATACCATGATGGGAAGGCCTGGACATCCAGAGGAGAAGGGCTTGATACCTCGTTCATTAGAACAAATATTTCAAGCAAAGCAGTCTCAGCAACCACAAGGATGGAAATATGAAATGCAGGTATGATAGAGTATTTGTCTTCTAAATTTCACACATCATTGCAATGTATACAAATTTTCAAATTTGATGCTGAGTTGCTGATAAGATTTTCCTTGCAAAATTTACAGGTGTCAATGTTGGAAATATACAATGAAACGATTCGAGATCTGATATCTACAAACAGATCATCATCTGATGCGACACGCTCGGAAAATGGTACTCCTGGAAAACAATATACAATCAAACATGATACAAACGGAAATACACATGTTTCTGATCTTACAGTTGTGGATGTTCAGAGTGCTAAAGAAGTTGCATTTCTTTTGAATCAAGCTGCAAATAGCAGGTAACTAATTTGTAGTGTTTATTCTGTTATGTCTTGTAAGGTGTAACAAACTATTAATAATTATTACCTCAATAAGACACCGCAAAAGAACTTCCCATTTTATGACTAACATTATTTACCTACACTTGATGTATTTAAGAATGATCATGTTATAGCTTTGAATGAGATTGGTATTTTTTCTTTTAATAATCATGTTACTGGTGCAAAATGTCTATTGACTTTGTCGATACTAATTTCCGTTAGGGAACCTAGTTGAACCCTTTAAGTAGTGTCTCTCATATTAACTACATTTTTTCTATCCACAATACTCAAACTTGATGTAATTCGGACCAACATGTTAATATAATTTGATGTAATTTCAGTTCAACAAAATGTTGACTTATTTTCTCTTGGTAGTTACATCACTTACCTTTTTTTATGTCCAACTTAACTTTATTGATTTATCTTTTTCTGGTTATCTCCCTTTTAGATCCGTGGGAAAAACTCAGATGAATGAACAATCATCAAGAAGTCATTTTGTATTCACTCTTCGAATATATGGTGTAAATGAGGTATAGATGTTTCTCTTTCTCTTATGATTATAATAACAAAAAACATGTTCTATATTCAATTTTCAATTTCCATCTCAATCTTGGATAACCACACTGACTTGCATCACAACAATGTAACCTATTTTGCGTTTCTTCCAGAGCACTGACCAACAAGTACAAGGTGTTCTGAACCTCATTGATCTTGCTGGTAGCGAGCGTCTTTCAAAGAGTGGATCAACTGGGGACCGGTTGAAAGAAACTCAAGTATGTAAAAAGCCATAGTGCTTTTCATTTTCTCTTGTGCTTATTTGATTTCAAATAGTTTAAACCTCTTTCATTTGTAATCAGGCAATCAACAAAAGTTTATCATCATTGAGTGATGTTATATTTGCCTTAGCCAAGAAGGAGGACCATGTGCCATTCAGAAACTCAAAGCTTACATATCTGCTTCAGGTAATGCATCATTATTCTTTCACATGACATTTTCTGAAGAATTTAATTAGAATGCACTAACAACGTACAAAATTTTTACAATACCATTCAATCGCAGATCATCATGTATGTTATGTTTATCGACTATTATAGTAACTATGTTATGTCACTTTAAGAATGATTTTTTATTAGATGATAGTGTAAAAGAATCTACATTTGCACTTACAAGTGCATGACAATTAAACTCTTTTCTGAATTCCACACTACAATATTGATGATTTCTTTGTGGTTTTGGCTTTGAGATGATCAAATAATAATGTCTTGAACATGGTTGTTGAACAGCCTTGTCTAGGTGGAGACTCCAAGACACTAATGTTTGTGAACATATCACCTGATCCTTCTTCAGTTGGTGAGTCACTATGCTCACTCAGGTTTGCATCAAGAGTCAATGCTTGTGAGATTGGAACACCGCGGCGTCAAACCAATGGACGTTCTACAGAGTCTCGCTTGAGCTATTTCTAATATTCAGAAATGTGTATTTGTTTTTTAACCATTTGTGGCAACCAAGTGCCTGTGTGAGTACCATAATAAAATGAAAATGAGATTGATTCTAACAGCGGCATACAGCTTGTATAGTGAAGAAGAAAGTTACTAAGCATGCATTTAGAACCCATTATAGTAGCTCAATTTGTTATTCTTCTTAATGTTATGTATTTATTTATAACATTTCTCTTATACAAATCGGAAAGGGAATTGTTTGTCATAATGGAAATGGTAAACTAGTTTGATTACAAGCATATCAATCAAAAAGATTTTATTATGTTTTCCAAATGTAAATGAAATAAATAATCTCCAAAGAACCTTAAGATTGGAAAAAAAGAAACTTATTCTCCCATAAATCTCTTCACAAGTACATGAGTTTATACATGTGTGATATCTTAAGAATCTTTTTAGAAATTTGTCTTGAAAATTTGTCTAATATATTAATTGATTATGTGCAAATATACTAGATATCTTACATAAAGCAAATAATTAAGGATAAACATGATATGTCCAAAAATCTCATTATCCACCTTAAGTTGGAGCATACAAATTATAAATGTTGATTTTGCATAATAAGGAAATGAACTTAGTAGGACCAAGTACTTTGTTGAGTATATCTTGATTGTGTAATGGTGGAGATGTAAGTCTAATGGAGCCTTTTAAGATGTCATCCCAAACAAAATGATAGTCAATTTTGATATGTTTGGTACATTTATGGAAAAATGGGTATTTAGCCATGTGGAGAGTGGCTTGGTCATCACAATAAAGACACATAGGTTGAGAATATAAGATACAAAGTTCGTTAGGAATTTCTTTTAACCATTTTAACTCAAACAATGGTTGCCATGGAACAATGTTCAACCTTATAGTAGATAAGTATGAAATGATGGGTTACTTCTTTGTTTTTCAATAAGAGCTAACCAAATGAATAAGTTATAATTTGAAAGAGAAAGACCTGTGAGTATTGGGACAACTTCCCCAATTTGAATCATACGACCCAGTCAATTGCAAACCATAGTTTCTAATCAAGAACATGTCTTTTCTCATATTCCCTTTCAAGTAGTGAACTACTCGTAATGCAACTTCGCAATATTCTTGTCTAAGTTGTGGCATGAATTGAGATAATATGTAGATGTAATAATATAATTCTCCTCTAGTAAAACAAAGGTAAATGAGGCATCACACCAATTGTCTATATTGATCGAGATGAGATAATTCTAATCCCTCAACAAGATCGATGATTTCGATCCATGGGAGTACTTGATGGTTTTGCTCTTGAAAGTCTTTTTTCACCTGATATTCAGAGTGTACTTTTGTTGATAGAGGAAAAACTTCACCAAAGGAGCGAGTTACTTCAACACGTAACAAGTATTTTGAGTTTTCCTAGATCTTTTGTATGGAAGCAAGTATATAATGTGTTTCGCAGTTGCTATTGCCAACATTGTATGCATAGATTTTGACAATCGAAGCAAATGACTCGATGTAATTCCTTCCACCTGATAATTGTCAAGAATAACTACCTACCCTTTAAACCATTCTATGCTCCCATCAAATTTATGTTTTATTTTTTAGACCCATTTATAAATAAACACTTTCTTCCCAAGAGTAAGTGTGTTAATGCCCAAGTTCTATTATTTTCAATAACCCGTATTTCACCTAACATGACCAATGTTTTAAAAATTGGATTAGTTATCAAATCGACTACGATATTGGTCGATGAGTCAAGTTCAAACCAATGAATCACAAATTGAACCACATGATTTAATCTTCGTTAAACTTTTAAAAAGATATTCATATTATATATTTCACACCTACAAATTGTAATCAATATAATATTGACAAAGCAACTAAATTATAAATTGATTGAATAACATAAATTAATATATAATTATAAATATAATATAATTATAATTTATGTTATGTCTATACTAATCAAATATTATGCCTCATTAATATATATATATATATATATATATAGGGGAATGCTAATGTACTCCCACCTAACTTTTAGTGGGAGTATGTTAGCAACCTATACCAAAATTTTAAGACAAAAAAAACCACTCATTTCTTTTGATTTGGTTAATTTGTATAAAAGATATTATAGTAATTTAATTTAATTTTAAATAAAAATAAAATATTTCCTCTCTCTTATTAACTTCATTCTTCAACTCATTTCTCTTTCCTATTAAATTCTTTCTCTAACATATTTATCTCTCTCCTATTAAATTCCTTCTTTAACTCATTTCTCTCTCATCTCTCATGATGTCTCCCCCTCCCTCTCTCTGAACAAATAAAAATTAATTAATAGAAAAAATAAATAAATTGGAGAATGAAATTAATAAGAGAGAGAAAATATTTTATTTTTATTTAAAATTAAATTAAATTACTATAATATCATTTGTACGAATTAACCAAATTAAAAGAAATGAGTAGTTTTTTTGTCCTAAAATTTTGGTGTAGCCGTGTAGGTTGCTAACATACTCTCACTAAAAAATAGATGGGAGTACATTAGCATTCCCCTATATATATATTCAATTATAAATGCACTTTTAATTTATTCTGTACTAAAAATATTCGCTAGTTGTTTTCTCTCGCTCTCCCATTTTGAAAGTTTATTTACATCACTATTTATAACATTTAATATTATCTTAGATATAATAATTAATTATTGTCAATTAAATTAAAACTTTTAAAATAACACTTATAGAGTAAATATTTGGAACAATTGATTAAAATAAATTATTTGAATTCAATCAATGGTTAATTAATTAATCAATAAAGAATTAAGATAAGGTTGCAACATGTCTAACATAGTAACATCGAATAAACATTTACAACAATTGATTAAATTAAATTAATTAAATTTAATAAATAAATAAATAATTAATCAATAAGAAATTAAGATGAGGTTGCAACATGTCTAGCCACTAGTGAAAAAAAGACTTTTAAAATCGGTTATTTTTTACTTTTAAAATCGGTTATGTAACCGATTTTGAAAGAGCCGATTTTAAAAGTTAACTTTTAAGATCGGTTGTTTTATAACCAATCTTAAAAGTCCGGCCGTGAAAAAAAATTAAACTGGAACGGCCTGTTACAAAACTGGAACGGGCCATTCCAGTCTGATCAAAAGGCCTAAAAGTTCACTTGAAGAACGGCCCGTACTCCTTGGAGAACGGCCCGTTCTCCTTAGAGTACGACCCGTTCTCCCTGGAGTACGGCCCGTTCTTCCTGGCGAACGCCCCGTACTCCTTGGAGAATGAGTCGTTCTCCAAGGAGTACAGGGCGTTCTCCTTGTAGAGCAGGCCGTTCCAATTGCGAAATTTTCCCAAAATGAACCTACAACGAAAATTGAGACGACAAAAACATGAGAAAACGAAAAGAGACACAAAAAGAACATAACCAGACGAAAATGAAAGCGAAATTTACCTGGAGACTTTAGAAAATGAGAAAGATTAAAGAAAATGAGAATGGAGGGGAATATAAAAGATTTCTGATAATACTTTTAAAATCGGTTAGTTAAGAACCAATTTTGTATACTACATACAAAATCGGTTATGAAAGAACCGATCTTAAAAGTGGCACTTTTAAGATCGGTTCTTTCATAACCGATCTTAAAAGTGGCACTTTTAAGATCGGTTCTTTCATAACCGATCTTAAAAGTGCCACTTTTAAGATCGGTTCTTTTGTAACCGATCTTAAAAGTACCACTTTTAAGATCGGTTCTTTTATAACCGATCTTAAAAGTAATTTTAAGATCGGTTAAATTTTAATCGATCTTAAAAGTGTTCATGTTATTTACAAAATTGCCACCGCGTCACTTTTAAGATCGGTTGACCTTGTAACCGATCTTAAAACTCCGATTTTAAATCTAATTTTTGCATTAGTGAGCATTGACAACCGGGTCCAAATTTATTTGCATGGATTAAGTAAAGGCATTATTGTTTTATTTAATATTTAGTAATTAATAATGACTATCATGGAGACAATTTTTTTTTTTTTTTTTTATGTTTAAGAAAATATAAAGATAAAACAAAAAGAATTACACTCTAATATGTAAGATACTCGTGACATTAGCCAACAAAAAGAAAGCAAGTTAAAAAGGATTGCATGTCCAAACTTGGATGAATGATCATGCATGATGCCATGCTTTGTTTAGGGTTTAGAAATCTATACATGAATTAACTTTTCAAAAAACATATTTAAAACTAACAAAATAATTGAAAGAGGCAAAATATAGAATCCTTTTCAACTTTATGATTATTAAAGAATCTAATTCATAAATAAAATTATGAAAATCATCATGTTAAATATTTTGAAGTTCATAAAAGATATATAACAACTCCACAATAATATCGTATGCAATAAGAACTTGAAAAGCTCCGAAACTCATTTGTCCATATGGAGACATCTAATTTGACTACTTTAGTTTTAAAAAAGAGAAATAATAAACTCTCGTGTGATTCTTTTATAATGTGTGTAATTCATGGAACGAGTACGAAGAATATTTAAAAAATTTTGTTTAAAAAAATTATACGCGCACAAACCATGTGCGTGGTTTTCTTTTTTACATTTTATCTTATAAAAATATTATACAAGCATATTTCACAATGATGATGAGATATTGTTTACTTTAGGTCTAAACTCTTACGGTTTTGTTTTTTGTCATCACCTAAAAGACCTTTTTATCATTGAAGTATATTTGTGTTATATAAGTTGTTATTTTTTGTCTTATTTTTTTAATGTGGAACTTGTTTGTATCCCAACAGCTCATCTTACTTTTTTCAAAAGTTTTTTTTCCTTTAAGTCTATTAAAATTTTTGAATAATCATTTGGCTTTAAGATGTTTGTTCTTTCCTAAATTACTTTACTTTCTGATAGTAAATTTACATAACACAATTCATTTTCCACAATTGTTTTTTTGTGTGAGTTTCAATATTTTTTTCAAATAGTTATTTTTATCAAAGTATTACAAATTAATCTAAAATTCTGAGACGTTAGAGACATGTATTGCACTATCTTAAAGAATTTTAGGCCAATGCCTATATAAGTCTGAAGGATACAAATGTAGAATTGATAAGTCCTTAATCCAAGAAAAAGAAAACATAAAAAAAGAGAGCTATGAAACATAGGGAAGAGACCAATGTTCATCGCTCTTACTCCAAGAATATTGATTATTATGTTTATAATTAATCTTGAAAATTAAAAATAATTAATTTTAAAATATTTATAAATTTAAATAAATTAAAATAAATTAAAATTGTAACGGTCGGACATTTATATCTCAATAAAATCAATATTAATGAGACTTTAAAATCATCAATTAATAAAATAACAGTTTTGAATTTAAATTTAAAGTAATCTTATAAATAAATTAACCTTTTGAAATAATTTAAAATATATAATATTACAATTTTTTTATATATAATATATTTTCATTGCATATTAATAGAGTCGTCCCAATGATATATGTGAAGCCTAAACAAATTTTAAGAGAGAACTTTTTTACATAATATATGCGAATATTTGCACACATAGGACAATTTTCGCAAACTTGAACCTTTTTTTGATAATAGATGTAATTTTTTATTTTATAAAAACTAATAACAACTTTTTTTTTGTTGGTGTGTCTAAAGCTTAAGCTAAGATTTAGGAGCCTTACTCTCATGTTGCCTCGTATATCAATTGGCAAATTTCAATTTTAATGGCAATATGATGATTTTAGGAAATCAATATAAAAACTCTCAATAGAAAAACAAAAAAGAAAAATGTATGAAAAGTTAACTTTTAACTCATAAAAAGATAACAAATTTAATAAACAAGTCATTGGCTCGAATAAGATTAGACTAAAAGTTAATCTCTTGAAACAAATTTTTAAATTTAAATTTTATGAATGAATACTTAATTAATTAAGAAGAGAGATCTCGTTAAAAGCCATAAACCAAATTCCATAGCAAAAGGGAGAAGAAAAAAAAACAGATTTCAAGCATCACATTGAATTGAAACTGAAATTAAATAATCATTGAACTTATTCATTTTGCACTAATAATGACTTAAAGTCATTTCCACTTACATACACCACTTTTAATGTCACAATATGGAACAAGATTGCATGGTGGAAAACAAAGTAGTATTCCACAATCAGCATCGGTTCTACATTTTGGAATCACGATTTCTTTGATCTGGTCACACATGCAAACACCATTACCACAAATGGCTATTTCTTTGCAGTAAGGTATAATCGAGTTGCATTCAACATCTTCAACACATTCACCAGAACCTGTCTTTCTTGCTATACTCGTGAATCCAAGCCCTTCAAAAAGATACACAAATTCAATAATATTGTAAGAACCTTCTTAAGACATTGTGTGTTTTATCAATTTTAATTTTCATATACTCATACTTTAAGATGTTGAAAAAAAAAATAAAAAATACCATTGCTAGCTATTGAAGCAAGAACGACGACCACAAAAGCAACCTTGACTAAAGCCATATCCCTACACCTTGTTTTGGTGTGGTGTTTGAGAGGTGTTGAGAATTAAACAATATCTTATTATCTTTATAGATTCAATTGATACATTCTACATGTTTATAGTAGTGTATGTTGTATATAAGACCATAAATGGGAATTTTCGAAAAAAATAAAATCCGTGTATATAATAATGACATCAAAAGATTTAAACTTATGGCTTTATGCAAGTTAGTAAAATCACCTACTCCTATTTGTGGCTTAATATATTTTTATCTATATGTATAAGTAAAATGGACTTCCACACATGTATTAATTTCTAAATGTAATACTTTATTTTGTACTTATTGAATATCACAATTTAAAAAGAAAAAAAATGATAATTCCTATTATGAGGCGCTTTATAATTTTTATAAAGAATTATTTTTATTTTTCGTCTTTTTTTTGTTATATAAGATAGTGAAAATATGTATTTCTTGTTATTAGATAATGAAAAATAATTTGAGAAATAAATATTTTTTCTCATATTTTTTAAACTCTCAAATTAATTATAATTTATAAATGTTATTGATATTTATATATAAGTTGATTATGATATTTATAGATGTTATTGAAAATAAAATAATAAGAAAGGCCAAATTGATACAACATGATTTTGTTTATAAACTCAATAAATTTAACTAATATAAACTCAATAAAATCATCAACTAATATAATTATTTATATATTTTTTATAATTTGATTAAAAATGTCTTATAATAATTAAGGAGCTAATATTTATTTTAGTTTCATATTTATATTAATTCTTATTATCTCTATTTAACTTGTCGAAGTAATGTTTATATATAGAAAATAATAAATGTATCATACTTAATCAATATAATATTTAATTTATTTTATGTTATAGTTATTAAATGTGATATTTAATTTTTTTTGGAATGTCAACCTTAATTATAATATACATTAATTATAGTGTTTATTCAATATAATAAAATAATAAATGTTTTTAATGATTTATCTCTTATTTTTTTTATTTAATAAGTTGACTTCATCATACATTTAATAATTATTGTATTTAAAGTTTTTTGGCTATCAATTTGATTTGTAATTTATTAATTTGATTATTAAACTTTTTAGAAAGTTAAAAATTATATGATACTTTATTATATATATTCAAATCAATGTGTAAAATATTTTTATGATTATTAATTAATTTAAATTAATAAAATAAAATATTAAATAGTTTTGAAATTTCTTAAAAATTTGTAAACTTAATTTATACATTAAGAACAATTAACATAAGTTGTGGTGTCTTGCATTCTTTAATCAAGTTGTCTAGGATTCGAATTTTAACATTAAGTATAAAATAAATTATGTTGGAATAGAAATACCTACCTTGTGTACACTTATGATCCCTGGTAGAGATTAGTCAGTGATAGATATTTTGTATAATTACCATGTTACCAAATATATATATATATATATATGAAAAGGGTTATAATAACACCGATATATATAACTTTTATTAAGTATTACACCGTTCAATAACTTTATAATAAATGTGAATTTTGTAAATTCAACCGTTAGATTGAAAGTTCTTTACTCTTAGATCATATATAAAATTTTATATTAATCCAAGATAATTTGATACTTCATTTTTATAAAATAAAATTAACGTAATATTCATTTCAAAATATACTAAAATATGAACACTTTGATTACCTTCAAGTTGTTGTTCAATTTTAACAAAATTTGATATAAACATATAAAGTGATATGAACTTTCAATCTATCGGTTGGATTTACTAAATTCACGTTTAATATAAAAGTTATTAAGCAATGTAATACTTAATAAAAGTTACACCAGTGTTATTATAATCATTCTCTCTCTCTCTCTCTCTATATATATATATGTATATATATATATACACACACAAAGAGAGAGAGAGAGAGAAATAAAGGATCCACTTATTCTACTCAATAATTCATGTTCTACCTCAAATTTAAATGATCTAACTATTGAATTAAAACTTTTTAATATATAGATCAAATCTAGAAATTTGTAAAAAATTTAAAAACTATTTGCTTATATTTCTTTTTATTAATTCAAATTGATAGATAATCATATAATTATTTTGTATATTAATTTGAATTAATAAAATGAAGTATTAAATAATTTCTAACCTTCTGACCTGAACTTTCACAAAAGATATCTAGGCATTGTTGAATTATTTCAACCTGATCCATAGAAGCCTCAGAGAAGAAGATCAGATCATCAGCGAAGGCGAGGTAAGATAGAGGCGGCCCTCCCTTTGATAGCTTAATAGGCTTCCAAAGCTTGTGAGTCACGGCAATTTCTATAAGGTGAAATAGGCACTCCATACAAAGGACAAAGAGGTAAGGTGACAATGGGTCCCCTTGTCTTATACCTCTGGATGGGGTGAAATATTCCAGCTTTTCCCCATTCCAAAGCATGCTCATAGAAGGAGTAGAGATGCAAGCCCACACCATCTCCACGAACTATTTGGGAAGACCAATATCCTCCAAAGTGTCTTTAATAAATTTCCATTTGAGGCGGTCATAGGCTTTCTCGAGGTCAATTTTGATAGCCATCCAACCTTTCTTTCCTGATCTACGTTTCATGGAGTGAATCACTTCTTGGGTGATGATAATGTTATCAGTTGTTTGACGATGAGGAACGAAGCTACACTGGTTACTTGGTGAATGATGATTCCCGTAACAAAGCGGCGAATAATCATGATGTGCCCATGGATGCTACGGCTGAAGATGATTTGATTAAGGTGGGAGAATCGATTCCTAGTAACGAACTACAAGATTCTAATCAAGTTTCGTTAAATCCGGGCTGCGCGGATTCGGTGGACCAATATGGACCTTGGATGATTGTGAAACGTAACAAGAAAAATGCAAGATATCGTACGCAAAATATGGGAAAGGATAAAATTAAAGAGTTGGGCCCCGCTAACCGAATTTCAAATCAGTATGATTATAATTTTGATGATGTGACTACTGCAGTGCACCAGTCTGAACCCCAAAAGGAGGGCCACGGCCTTACCAAGCAGAAAAGTTCAGTGGTAACAGTCCGTAACCCCTTAGCTAGGAAAAATCCACAAGTGCCACAAAGAAAGAACTATGCCCAAGGCAAGAACAAGGTTATAAGTGTCCCATCATCTAGTATAACAGATTCCACATATAAAGGTGGGGCCCAACATCTTCCTACCTCACCAAAACGTAATCCTGCATGGTTAAAGAGTCAGCATGCAGAACGTGAAGCGGAAAATACTGCTAAGGTAATCACGGGTCTAAAAAATGCAACACACTTGCAAGATGATTCCATGCAAAATGGAAATGCGTTAATTACGCAAGTTTATGCTCCAGACGCTGACACATTAGCATTCGCAAATGCAATGAGACAATACCTTGATCCGAGAGCATTTAACAAGGATAAGAGTAGTTTGAACAAGCAAGTTGGAATTGTTCCACATGAAGACTCAAGGGTTTCAAACCTAAATCCCCCTTTCGGTTCAGTATGAATATACTAAGTTGGAACTGTAGGGGGGCTGGATGTAAAGGCTTTGTACCTCTTGTGAATGATCTAATTCATGATAATAATGTGGGTATTTTGTTTTTGCTGGAAACACATGTTAGTGGTGCAAAAGCGCAACAAATAGCTCGAAAAATCCTTCGTGGTTGATGCGGTGGGACATGCAGGAGGTATTTGGTGCTTTTGGGACTCAACAAGGTGGGCGCTGGAGGTTCTTCATCACTCTAATCAGTTCGTCCATTTTGCGGTTTCTTGTGGCTCAATAACCTGGGAGTTGACGTTTGTTTACGCTAACCCTCATCCACAATTTCGTATAGGCCTCTGGCGAGAACTTAGTAGGATGGCAAAGAATATTCAAAAACCATGGTGCATTATAGGTGACTTCAATGCGGTGTTGAAAGATTCTGAACGCAAAGGAGGCTCATCCTCAGCCTGCTTCCAGGGTGATAATGCTTTTAAAGAATTTGTCCTTGAGTGTCACCTGTTGGATAAATTTAAAATCAACAATTTTAAATTGAGCTACCAAATCATTGATATTAATTATGAATTAAATTTAAAATAGTTTGAAATGTAAAACAAGTATAATATTGATAAAAGTCCACATGATAGATTTTTCATTCATATTTTTTGAAAATCAATCAAATCTTATTAATTTTTAATCAATTTACTGATCTTATTAATTATTAAATAAAAAAATTTAAAAACAATATCTAAATATTACATGTAACTGTTTTTTTAAGTTAATACGTTCTTTATAAAATAGTATGAATTTTAAAAAATATTATAAAAATGTATACCGTTACTTTTATAATGTTGTAAACTCAATTATTAAACTCAATTAATTAATATTATAATTTTTTTATTAAAATAATAATATTTTTTAGCATCAAAAATAAAATTATTTGAATAATAAAGAGAGAAGTTTGTACATACATATATAATACATTTTTTTTATTTTTATAATAATTATATTAAAAATATTAAAAGAGTAATAATCACGAAAATTATATAAATTTTTATTCAATTATTAAATAAAAATTAATTTTTTCTTTTAATCCTGTAAATTAATAAAAAAAAAATGTGTAGTTGTGCATTTTTTTTTTATTCATAAGGGGGCTAATAGCCCAAAGAAAACAAAAAAAACTAGAATCCACGAGGGAAGGTTACAGCAGACTCATCTGCTAATAAAAAAGAAATAGACCAATTCGGGGCAGAGTCAAAAACATGAACACCTACTGACAAAGAGAGCCCTTTTTTGGCGAAACAATCTGCTACCTGATTTGCCTCCCTTAAGGTGTGAGTACATTCAATATTGTTGAAATCACCAGCCGCCTTAACAACTTGATTGACTAGCCCATAGCAAGAGTGAGTTCTAGGACACCCTTCATTTAAGAACTGAATTGCAATTATTGAGTCAGACTCAATAATGATCTGGTCACTAAAATTTCGTTCTCTGAGAATTTTCAACCCATAGAGCATGGCCCATATATAATTCAGCATGTAAAATAGAACAATGCCCAATTAGACATGAAAAGCCTAAAATGAAGTTACCACCACTATCACGAAGCAC